TAACAAACACGTTTACTTGTGTAACCCTAGTGCATTTTTTATTATACTTTCACTTTTAATAGTGAAATAGTATTACTCTAAACACATTTTCTGAATGCCCACTTCAAATCTGACTGATTGAGTCATTATTGAAGTAAACAGTGACATATTTTATTATTTATCCTTTATTTAAGTCACTTTTTTCTGCCAGGGACACAACAGCATACTCAAAATATAGAAAAATCAGAGACTAAAAGAAGCAAGATAAGTTATGACACTTGTTTATAGCAACAACATTGTCTAACAACTGTGTTAAGCAATTGTTGAACATGTTAAGAGAGGTTAAGGATTTTAAGTGTTAATCTTTTGGAGCAATTTATCATGAAACCCACCTCATCTCTGCAGGGCTGCCTCAGTGGTGTCAGTTAAATGCTGCACACGATGACCACAGAGCCGGCCAGTCTGGAGAGCCTGGGGGTGCTGTTCCAGAGCGATGACTTCATCGTGGTGGACAAGCACTGGGACATCCGCATCGACAGCAAGATGTGGTACGAGAAACACACCGTGCAGGCGCAGCTGCGGCACCGCTTCCCTCAGCTGGCAGACCCCAGCACCTACTATGGATTCAGGTGGGAATCACACTCTGACTAACAACATCATGTCACATACATCAAGTTCATAAAGTTATACTCTCATGTTTTTCTCCACCCTACAGGTTCTGTCATCAGTTGGATTTCTCCACAAGTGGGGCTCTTTGTGTGGCGCTCAATAAAGCGGCTGCCGGCCGGGCTTACCACTGCTTCAAGGACCGAACCGTCACCAAGGCCTACCTTGCCCTTGTAGGGAAACTCAGTAACACACATTTACAGAGATATAGGCATAGAAATGTCAGATTTTTTTGTGTGACTACATAGAACATATTTGGTTTCTTAGGTACGTGGATTGGTGGAAAAAGAGACACAAACTCTGGAATTCTCCATTGGCAAGAATTCTTCAGAGGGAAAAACCCACATGATGTGTATCGAGGGAACAGAAGGTTGGTGTGTTTCAGCTCCAATAGAACACACCTAATTTCTTCTTCAAAGTTTGTGATTTTCTGATAGAATTTGATTGGAAGATAACAACAGACTATTTATTTAGTTTTTGATTCCTTTTCATTCTCCTGTCAGGTTGTGAGAACCCGAAGCCTTGCCAAACTGAGCTGACGGTGTTGGAGTACGGGTTATATGATGGAGACCCCGTCACAAAGGTCCTGCTGCAGCCGCTCACTGGTAACACTCATTTGGTCTTTTCATATTAGGGACATTTTAATTTCTTCTCTACTATATGAACATTGCTAGAGAAAGTGTACATTGCCATACAATTTGTCAGGTTTCTTTCAGGTGTTGCATTGCAAATAAAGACTTTAAGGCTGTATTTAAATCTAACAATTATGTAATTTAATTAAATCTTGCCTGGCATTGTGATGACGTTTTGTGGTATTGGATCTAGCTCACCTCAGGTTAAACAGCTTCATCAAACATTAAAAGCCACATCAACCAAATTAAAAGTAGATTGACATAAGATAAGTAAACCATATCAATCACTGATTAATCAAGCATACTTGTGTAAATTATTGTTAAACAATTGCACTAATGTAGCATCTTTCTCTCTATTCTTATTAAAACATACCTAAGTGAAGGATTACATAGATGTATTTTCTTGACATGTCTATTATATAAAAATGCTTTGGCCCCACTGTTAAATGTTTTTCTTTCTCTCCGACTCCACCACTTGTTTTTTCCCCCAGGCCGAACCCACCAGTTGAGGGTCCACTGCAGCGCTATAGGTCACCCTATTGTCGGGGATTTCACCTACAGCTCTGGAGCAGACGACGCCCCGTACCGCATGATGCTGCACGCCCACTTCCTGCACATTCCCCTAGAACCTGAGCCCCTGCTCGTCTCAGGTGAAGACCCCTTTCTCCCCACACTGGATCCAAAATGGCTCCCGCAGCGCTCTTTACGGACACTGACGACCACTGTGGAGGCGCTGCTGGAGCGGAGATTAGAGGAGGACAGGAAGATCAAAGAGGAGAAGAGAGAGAGGGCGAGAAAGGAGGAGGAGAGAAGGAAAGGACGCAAGGAACGAAGGACTAAGGAGGAGATTGAGGAGCAGACGAGGCAGTGTCAGGAGTGGCTGAGCGAATGGGCTGGAGACTGATGTGTTATTTATTATTTATTTGTATTGTTTACCGATGAAGGCCACGTTCAGCATGCAAGCTCCATCTCACTGCTTTCAGTGCTAAGGTTAGCAACTGAGCCGGGGCATCGTAGCTGAGAAAAAGTGCCTTCCTCAAGTTCCTGTTGCTAAGTGAGGGATGGGGTTACTTGCTGCCATATCTTTTTCATATGCAGGAAAAAGAGTATGACTGTAATACATTGCTGACATCTTCTCTGGGCTATGTATGAAATCGTTTTTTGCCAGAGTCCCAGTGTTGGTAAGTTCCTGTGTTGTCACCCACCCTGCATGGCTGTAACATCCATTGAATCCCAAGTAAAACTGTATGATCCATGACTGCAATCCTTGTTTCTTTGTTGTTGTTTGAGCATTGTTTTACAGCTTTAAATCAATGTGTTTTTTTTGCCAATGTGTAAACCAAGTTTTACAAATCAATCCAGGATCAGTAATGATACAAAGAAGCCTAATAAATGCTTTTGCAAGAACTCGGCCACCTCTCTAAATCATAACTTTTCCTGCAAATTGTTTTGGAATTCACATTCGATCATCACACATGTACACAGCGTCGCACACAGAGAAATGTAGACTGCCTTCAACCTGCAAGGTAGCACATGGAAGGCTTGGAAGCAAGGGCGCCGGAAGCGGCGGATGCCGTTGAACACTGTAAAAATCCCGTTTCAATAATTCCCCTCTACTCTAAAGTCGCATCTAAAACGCGATCTGATCTAGCTGTGTATATTTTGTTATTTTTGATTGTTATATTCAATCTCATTAGCTACAGGCATTTTTTAAGCTTGTAAAGGGAAGACAGGGCTGCCAACACTCACGCATTGAGCGTGAGAGTCACGCAATTAACACATCTCACGCACTCACGCCACACATGCCTTTCCTCACGCTAAGTTTTCGTTCAAAACAAATGTATATAAATATAAAAATAAAGTGAAGGAACAGCAAACCGAGCGGTCTACGAAATGAGACGGTCAGGCTTACGGAGGACTTCCTGTTTGCGTCACCTGACACCCGCAGTCCGTAGCACTGCCGCCTAGCAACCTGGACAGCGTCACGCATTGTGATTGGCTGTACGGTATTTGCACACTGATTGGATGTAACGAGGGTATACCGGGGGTCTGAGCAAAGACGAAGGAGGATGAGAAGAATAAGAGAAGGTAAGGAGAATATATTATAAGATATTTTCGCGCCACAGGTAAAGTAAAAATATTTTCTTTTGTTATTTTTTAATTAATTAAAGTTAATGCTAACAAGTGCCAGTATAGCCCTAATAATTACTACTACTTATTTCGTTTTGATTGTTATATTTGATAATATATTATCCAAAAATCATATATTAATGATATACTTTTATATATTATATATTATCAAAAAGATAATTTTGCCATCTTGAAATAACATAATATAATATATTATCAAACATTTATATATGTATATAATATAAGATATTTTAGCACCATAGGTAAAGTACAATACTTTCTTTTGTTCTTTTTAAATAAAACAAATAATTTTAATAAAGAATTTATTAATACCGGAAAATATTTTTCTTATAGTTGATAAATAAATGTTTGCTGTTTGTTATAGGATGTTTTCTAAAGTGTCAGGGACAGCTGCAGGGAAGAAAAGGACCCTTATTTCCATGTGGGCGGCAAACCAGGCCCCCAAGAAGTCCTATGACCCTGAGAGAGCAGATAGGCCACAGGAAAAATCACAGGAACAAGAGGAAGAACTACTGTTGACACAGATAGATGAGCCCTCAGAGAAAGAGGGGACACCTGGTACAAAGACCAGAGCCCAGGGCGGTGCCGCAACATATAGGTGCTCTTTTAAAAATGAATGGTCACATAAATGGCCATTCATTACAAAGGGGACACTTAGTAACTTAGTAGTAAAAGTAGTACCCAGTACTGGTGCTCTGTATGCAGAGTAGAAAATGCTTGCTGTCACCAGGGAATAGCCGATGTTGCAAGGCACGTTAACAGCAAATGCCATCAGGAAAAACAGAAAGCAGTGCAATCCAGCAGTGGAATTCAGCAATTCTCAGTTCCACTTCCTTCTGCTGGGGCAATGACTGTCCAAGAAGTGAAGGTTGGTTATGCTCAGTGGTGTTGTGGTTATTTAGTGGATGATAAAGACACTATACTGTTTACATGATAAGCTAATTTCCTAAATAGAGTTTTGCCTTTTTGGAACTAGCATACTCTATTAACTGAATTCATTGTGTACATTCACATATTTCATAATCTAACACCAATCCAACTGTATCTTGTAGACAAGGAGGGCAGAATTAAAGATGGCGGCGATGCTGGCAAACCATAATCTACCACTGGCTGTCACAGATCATCTGGGGCCACTCATGAAAGAGTGCTTCAAAGACTCACCCACTGCACAGGACTATACATGTGCAAGGACCAAGACCTCTTGCCTCATAAACAAAGTATTGGCGCCACATTACCAGAACGCACTGGTGATGCTGATGAGGGAGAATCCATACACCATCATTACAGATGGCTCAAATGACACAGGTAGGAATTAAATACCTTTACATCCTGGTATGAACAACATTATTTTTCTTTTTTATTCTAGCCATATTTTTTAAGTATGAGATATATATTTATTTGATTTTCCCTAAGATAATGTGCTAATTTCTTTGTCAATGCAGGAAGAGAAAAGATGAACCCCCTTACTGTGCGTGTGTTTGATGTGAATAGGGTGGCACATCGGTTCCTAGATATGTGCACCACAAGTGGAACCAGATCTGGTACAGCAGAGCTAATCTTCCAAAAAGATTGATGCCACCTTACAAAACCACAAGATTCCATGGTGCAACTGTATTGGTCTCTCTGTAGACAATGCAGCCGTGAACATCGGACAACACAATTCAATCGCATCAAGAGTTCTGCAAAACAACCACAGTGTTTATGTACATGGTTGCCCGTGTCATATTTTACACAACACTGCAAAGCGAGCAGGTCTTACCTTTACTGAGGTAAGTGTATGTTGAATATATGTTAAATATTTAGGTGATGTACAGGGGATACAGTTACAAAAAATGTTTAATTGCAGGTGTCACATTTTGATCTGGAGGACGTTGTGGTTGATGTGGGCTTTTGGTTTAAAGGAAGCACCAACCGCAAGGGATTTCTGGCAGGTATCAACTTTCCAGCCAGTTCTACACAAATTATACAAACTAAAGTAGTTAACTGGTAATATGCGTCTTATACAACTGTGGAATATATTTCCTTTGAACAGAGTTTTGTGAGCTCTTTGAGTCAGAATACCTGGAAGTCCTACAGCATGCCTCTGTGCGGTGGTTGAGCCTTGAAACCTGTGTGACCCGCATTCTGAGATTGTACGAGCCACTTGCCAGCTATTTCCAATCAACAGGTAAGATATATATCAAAATATATGCTATATTATGCAGTCTTGAAATCAACATTATGTGTGTGAGTTGTATCTTTGTTTTCTCTCACTTATAGAGGGGAATCAGCCAAGACTGAAGAGGCTACAGGGAGCCTTTTCTGACCCCATGACTGAAGTGTATCTCCTCTTCTACCAAGCAACCATACCAGCCTTCACCTCTCTGAATCTCCTCTTCCAGAGACAACATCCATCTATATTTTTATTGCAAGATGAGGTATATCTAGAGGAAGTGGTTTAAGCCTGCATTCCAGTATTTTGTTAATTTAATATTCGGGTAAGATGTAATACTGTCTTAAATATATTTCAGATGATTACATTCATCCGCAAGCTCTGCTCCAAGTTCCTCTTGCCCACAGTACTGCAGACCCACCTTAAGCCTCAGGACATCCCATATGTGGATAAGGAGAACCATCTGCCTGGTAATTGTAATTTAGTGAAAAGTAAAGTAAGATGAAGTGTGTGTGTATATATAGTAACAGTCAAAAGTCTGGACACACTTCACATTAAATCTAATTATATTGAAGTTTATATATGAATACAATAATGGGATTAGTTCTAGACTGATTGTTTCATGATTTGACACAGAGAAAAAAAGCCTTCAACAACTGGGCATGTTCAGACCTTTGTATAGTACTGTATTTATATGTATAATTGTCTTTTGGAATTACATGAGTAATCATTCAAATGCTATAATGAAGCTCAAGGAAAGGTGTGTATGTAAGTGCTTTTATGAAAGTACATTGGATTTGATTGTGTTTTCTGCATCTCTAACAGGATACAAACTGAATGTCGGCTTCATCACCAGGGTGAGGCTCAATCATCTCCTGGATGCTGGGGACATCACCGCCCAGAAAGTGGAGTTATTCCACACCGCATCCCTCAACTTCTTTGTGAAAGCTGTAGAGTATGCTCTACAAAGGCTGCCTAGTGAGCCTTTGCTGAAGCATGCCAGGTTTCTTGATGTGAGGCAGAGGGCAGAATGTGGGGTGGAGGATGCCCTCTACTTTGTTGACAGGTCAAATGTATATATTAATTTATTTTCTAATTCTTCAGAAATTAACAACCAATATAAATAAATATACCAACTACTCAGTTTCACCCTTACCTTTGAAGTATATCTCAAAGTGAATAGAAGTTTGTAACTCTACCTTTGTTTCTCTTCAAAAAAGGTATGCCCACCTTCTCCCCTACCACAGCCCACAAGATCATGACTCATTGGGGGAGGAGTTCCTGGACTACCAGACCATGCCTGTGCCAATATTGGAAGCAGACCCAGATATTGAGGGCTTCTGGGCCAACATGGCCAGTTTAAAACACAAGGTCAGATATCTAAGTGTGTCTCATTCCACAATGTGGACTAATTTCGAGTGACATGTGTGTATTCATTGTGCAACTTAACCCTGTTGTTCATGTTTTACAGGTGACAGGTGTGGGCCATAGACTGTATATATAAAGGTGTGGGCAGGTTTGATAGACTCTCCACTGTTGCCAAACTTGTGTTAGTCTTGCCACACTCAAATGCTGACGCAGAGCGAGTGTTTTCTGTGGTGGGACTAAACAAAACAAAAACAAGGAACAGCCTGGCCCTGGAGGGGACACTGTCGTCTCTCATGACAATAAAGATGGCAGACTTGGAGCCATGCTTTAAGTGGGAGCCAACCCAATCAATGCTAAAGGCTGCAAAATCTGCCCCCAGCAGTTACAACAGACCAGATCCCAGCCAGAGCACAATATAGGTTTATGGAAACGACCTCTAATTGAATCAAGTTAATCCCTGTCAAGTTATGTATTGAAGTAAAAAGATATGATTCTACACTGTATTGAAGTAAACATGTATTGTTTGAACTGTTTTAGGTAATCACAAACGGGTTTTGATAAGTCATTTAGAATAGGAATGTTATTCTTACTTTCAAACTCACTGATCCAGAGATTCTGTGTTTCAACACACCAACATCCTTCTTATCACCCCTAAAAGCAGATGTCGTCATTAAGTCGTTAAAAGACATCGTTAAATAGGTGGAGAAGAGTTTAAATGTCTGAAGGAGGATAGTTTAGGTGAAAATATCCCCTGGGAAAGGAATGTAGAGTAAGATAAGGTAAAGATAAACATTGACTTTTGACCTGGTGTGGCTTGGGATCTCACTCTCTGGTCAGACCTCTGATTGAACCCGGCCAGAAGCGAATCCAGCCAGTCAGGGCACTTGGGGGAGGTAGTCAGTTTAAACAGCTCCTCCCCAGGGGCTCTCTGATTCGCTTGGGAGTAAAGTGGGAAGGAAGAGATGACCCATCTCCGCCCCAAGGACAGATATGAATACTGATGTTTGTGTGTGTAAAAATGCTTTTGGGTTTGGTGAGTTGGCAGGTCCTGATAACTGTATCCGCATCGCATCACAAACCTGAAGTCCAATTTCTTTTTGGTTTGATGAGTGGTTTGATCCTGACGCATTTATCCGCATCGCATCACAAACCTGAAAGTCCGGAGTGCTCAAGTACTCTGTATAACTTGTATATGTGTTTGGTTTCCTACTAGAAGTAAACTCAGATAATTTGTTATAACTTTGATTCCGGTGTTTTCAATTCCTTTCTTAATTTAATAGAGATCCAGCCTCATCCAACGAACGGCGCGGAGAGGGGGGCTATTCAGCCACCAGCAGAGGTGTTCTACTCCAACAAGTGGTGACTTTCCCGACGGAGTGAGTGCTTATCTCTAGAAAGGAACACCGATAGCCAGGGGACAGAATCCAGTCCAGGGGGAGGACACAGAGATACTGGTGACAACTAAACCAATGGCCATATACAAAAGGTGAGCAGACGCCTGTTTTGACTATCGAAAATCTGTGATTGATTATACTAAAAATTTAGAGTTGTCAGCAGCGTTCTCAGTGTTCTTAGTCACGGTGGGAAATACAATACATATTACAAGTTGGGGATATTGGGGAAGTGCTTAGAGAAGGGTATTCAGTCCTGGACCTAGAGCAAAAATAGTGTTTGAGTGTGGCGGGTAGATAAGTCCCAGCCCTTCACTCACTAAATACGAACGCTGCAACGCTGTAAAAGATGTATGGGTTAAATTCCCCGCAAGTCAAAATAACATTGATTAATGCGGTTAGCTTGCAGTGCGTCTATTAAAGGCTGCAAAAGGTGTAAAAAAGGGTTAAATTCCCCGCAGATCATGATAAGATTGATTAATGCGGTTACCTTTCGTGGTGCTTTAAATGTATAACATTTCTGTAATTGTTATATGGTGGGTGATAGAGGAGGAGAGAGACGCGACCTCCAACTAATTATTTGGAACGACCGTATCTCATCACAAAACTGTTGTGGGGATAATCAGGCTCATTAAATGTGACGATAAAGAGATTTTGTTGACTGAGTTTTAACTCTTGACCTGAAGTCGCAATCACCATGAGGAGATTGTAGAAGCTTGCTTCTGGAAGTCACGCTATCTGTTGAAATAAACATCGCACAATAAAAATTTGCCTGACTGTGATATGATAAGGTATGAAAAGCTCTGTGTGATTTTTTTTTAAGTCAAATCTGTGTAATTCTTGAGAGACAAATCCAGTAAAAAGAACTGTGGGTAAAGAATTGCAGAAGACATAGACACAGAGAGCAACAAGCAGGTGGTATAATGTCTGAGACCCTACCTCCACCCTACGGAGATGATAGATGATGACAAATGCCACTTATGAGTATCCCATCTAATACTCCTAAAAGAAAACACATTGTTGGACCTGATATTCAGGGAAAAGGAATGTTGGAAATAGTAATGGAAGATATTGAAAATCTTAAACTGGATCAACCAACCATGTTAGTGAACCCTGCTAATATGGAGCTAATACATGTAGAAAGAATAGCAGCAGCTCTGGCAAAGACAATAGGTCCTAGCATGCAAGCACAGAGCGATAATATGATAAGGACTATTAAACTGACCCTTTTTGGAAATGGGATTTTCCGTTACACAACAGAAGACTCAATTCAGGCCTTAAAGAACGCTTTACAAACAAATCAGGGAGAGTTAAATGTGGAGCTATGTTGCTCATGTGGGAGCTTACACTTTTGGGAAGAGATCTCCCCCTTTCTCTACTCCTGAGGTGCTGCAGATTCACAGCAGCACACAGGGTCAAAGACAGGCATGACCTCTGGAGAGGAAGATCTGGAGATTGTAAGGAACTCTCCCTAACTACCCACCCCCACCCAATCACGAGGGCAAGAGTGTGCCTCTCACCAATAAACAAATCATCTCTTAACCAAGTCAGATTTCAAAGTAGCCATAGCTCCAGTTGTTAAGAAAAGAGGGAGATTCAAAAAGTTATCAATAAATTGCCCAGTATATTAAATAAATACAAACAGACACGTATCAATATAAGTCAGATAATGTAGACGAGGTCAATCATGGAAGAAGGCTGACATTTAATGCCTGATATATAAGTAATAGTAATAATAAATATATAGCTGATATTAAATAACTGATGTATAAGGCTCGATGTTTCTGAAAATAAGAACACCGTTAACGGCGTTCTATTTCAGAAAAAGGGGGAAAAGGATAGGATATACATCAGACAATATGTATGTGAGATTATTACGTTTTTAAGAGAAATTGATACATTTAAAATAATCTAGCTTTGGTTATTTTTGTTTTGTTAGTTTGTTCCTTTTTTGTTTTATTTTTATTTTTGTTCTATTTTTTAATTTAATTTTTAATCTTTAATTTTTAATTTTTAATTTTTAATTTTTAATTTTTAATTTTTAATTTTAATTTTTTGTTTATTATTTTCTGCATAGTCTCTTGTCCACACTCCAGTCTAGTTGGTACCGCCAATAAACACTAAAGAAGTAGAAAAGATGATTTCAAAACCATATTTCCAGCAACTTAAGGGCTTGGTATGAGACTTCTCCACACAGGCTGCTGACGTCAAAAGGGGGACCCGAGAAACACAAGGCCAACACAGCAGATTACGTCTGGTTGGAGGGGACCTCCCATGCCGTCCGCCTAGATGGAAAGGGAGACAACTGGTACCACTGGAGCCAGTGTGCGGTCGGGAAAAACACCTGCGAGGACCCTAGACGACATCAGAACAGATCTGGCTCTCGTCAAGGCAGTCGACCCAGGAGGCGCCATCAGCAGACCGGAGGAGGAGGATCGGGAGGACATCTCTCCAACAGTCGACCAGGAGGCGCCATCAGCAGGCCGGAGGAGGAGGAGGATCGGGACATCTCTCCAGCATCGACCCGGAAGCCGCCATCAGCGGGCCGGGGGAGGACAATCCGGCCACATCTCTCTAGCAAGCACCCCAGAAGCCGCCGTCAGCGGGCTGGGGGGACGAAGACATGGCAAACCAAGACGGCACAGGGAACTCCATTTCCCGCTGAAACAGGTTGATATAGCCGGTGTGGAACTTTGTCTGAACAATAAAAAAATTTTGAGGAACTTTCAACTTTATTTTTATATCCCACAATATAAGGGATTGGTATTTTTTATTCTACAGAACTATGTGTTACCAAAAGAGGGAAAAGTATGATAATGTCTTTTCTGATTTCTGTGGCTACTTTTATTGCCATTTTAGTGACATGTGGTTGTTGTTGTGTGCCTTGTATCTGCTCATTGTGTGTTAAGACTCATCAGTTCCACCATTGAGGGTAGAGTAAAGATGACTCAGCTGACAAGGACTTTGCTTTTTAGACATATTTTATTCTCCCTCCACTGTCATAATAAGTTGTTGTTGTGGACTGTTCCTAAAGGTTTAAAGTGCTCTATATCCCAACTTCTGATGGGTTTATATAAATGTTGGGACAGACACAGTAAGAAGAAAATTGACAGTGGTAATGTTTCAAATGCTATATGTTGATCTCGTGAGGTGAGATCAAAAGAGGGATTGAAGTAAAAAGATATGATTCTACACTGTATTGAAGTAAACATGTATTGTTTGAACTGTTTTAGGTAATCACAAACGGGTTTTGATAAGTCACTTAGAATAGGAATGTTATTCTTACTTTCAAACTCACTGATCCAGAGATTCTGTGTTTCAACACACCAACATCCTTCTTATCACCCCTAAAAGCAGATGTCGTCATTAAGTCGTTAAAAGACATCGTTAAATAGGTGGAGAAGAGTTTAAATGTCTGAAGGAGGATAGTTTAGGTGAAAATATCCCCTGGGAAAGGAATGTAGAGTAAGTGGTCCAAAAGATGATGTGTGTTTCAAAAGTAATTATCACTTCATTAAAATGAGCATCAACACTTCCACAAGGTCCTTTAAATACAAAGACTGTGGTAGAGCTATTAAAACCAATATGTTATTATATTGAGGAACAATATAAAGAATGTTCAGGAATAAATGATACAACAACATGTATGGCCAAATATTTTTATTTCTTCACCTTGTCCCAACATAAAACAAATATAAACATAAACTATTTATCCTGTAACATTTTTTGTCAATTATTTTATTAACCTGTTAAGCCCCGAGCCTGTTTTTCAGGTTTCAGGCTCGAAAATGACATGCCCAAAACAAATGACTACAACTTAACTTCTAAAAGGGTTATATGAATAATTTCTTTTATCAAAGCAAGGTTACATCTGTGAGTTGGATGTAGAAGTTTCAGAATCAATATAGACTTTTCTCAGTCAGAGTAAATTCAGATGGAACATAGCAAAAAAAAGGTAAATTCTTACCTCCGCCTAAAGAAAAAACATTACTTATAGTGAAAACCACCCTTGAATGATGGGATGGTAGACTAAAAGCTTTAGGAATCCAAACTATAACATATAATAAGTACCCTGTATCAAGATTGAGGCAAAACAAGTGACATTTGACCTTTTTAGAGAGGTTTAGCAAATAAAAGTTCCAGGCGGAATAAGCTTTCGGCACATTTGGGTACATCTGGTTCCATCAGTGCCATTTGACCTTTTTCAGGTACCAGACTATAAAAATTGTGTATTACATTGAATTATCACCATAGGTATTCATTCCATCCAAAGAAAGAAAAACAAAAGAAAAACAGGTTAAGTCTCACACAAAGAAAAGATAATAAAATACAATAAACAATTCCAATAGTACAAGCACTCTTCTTGTGCTATCTTTGCACTTACATTGACACTTTAGCCTTACCACTAAGAAAATAATCAAAAACTAAGTGTTAACATTTAAGATACAAATGTTGATATGCTTCCTGTAACCTCCAAATAAACTTTTTTTTACATTAATTTAATTCTCTGAAATTGTACCTCTGGTTTTGCTGCAAGACTATAACATGACATAGGACTTTAGGATTGTACTTTAAAGTGCACCTATCGTGCTATTTTAAGGCATGTATTATGGGTCTCAGATTAATACAAATATAAAAAAACATGTCTATGATGTGTTTTGCTCAAAATACAAATAGATCATGCATTTTAGACATCCCTCATATCCCTCTATTCCAGCACTGTTAGAAAAACGCGAAAAAAACAAAAAAGAGGAGGCGGAGCTAATGCCTGATCAGAATTCTACTGGAGATAAAGTAAAATTCTGCTGTGATAAAACGCCATCCTGTTCCAAACCTCATCAAGGATTATTTCTGAAACAGTATGGAGCTCTAATGCTTTTTCTCTTGCGGGTTTATCAAAAGGTGAGTTCCTTTTTTTATTTCCTACTATTTAAACACAAGTTTATTTAGACCATATTACGTCCAAAACACGTCAGGCATTGTTTCTGATAGCAACTTTCTGTGGGTCCACCATCCGAAATTACGTAATATCGGCAGCAAATCTGTATCCGCTCGTTGTACCCCCGTTTTTAAAAGATTTGGGCACAGAGGAAAAGAGAAAGGGTTTTATTTTCTGACGCTGCGTGAGTTCCCCGACATACCGGGGACACATATTTATGTATAAAAGACATCAAAAAGTGAAATTTGCATGATAGGTCCCCTTTAAAGTGAACAAGGGTTGGGTTGGATTAAAAGATATAAAGTGGCGTTCTGTTGTCTTTGGCCACATTGTTACACGTAAATCACATGTTATGGTCTGTAGACCTTAGGAGAACTTGTGATCAGGGCATGTACTTCTTTCCTTTCATCCTAGGAATGACATGCATATCTCTGATGTCATCATGCTGAAGCAGCCAACACAAGTAGCGCTCCGTCCCCATGCCCCATCCACTGGTGAGGAGGGGATTCACCTGCCGCATGTTAAGGTACCATTTGTAGGACTGCTCTGGCACTTCATGGTGTCTGAGGGCCTCCTGTACCATCTCAGTGGTGGAATGACGTTCACCGAGACCCAATGTCTCACCTAAACCCAGGAGAAGATCAGCAGCTTTGGCTTTGCACCGCTCAGTGCCCTCCACATAGGCCTGGTAGAAGGGAACTCCTAGATGGTCCATCTCAGTTAGCCAAACAGCGCCACCATATTTCTCCATCAAGACTCGCTCTCCTTTGCGCGTTAGCTTTCTGCCAAACTGTGGCTGGCCATCTTGTACCCACTCTTGGCAGTCGGCGGAGGGCATCATGGAAATGGCCTGGTCTAGAGGGACTCTTGGTAGTGGGGTTTTTCCATCCAGCTTACTCAGCATGGCGTTGACATGTGTAAGAGTCCCGGCGGTGTTGAGGATCATATCGGAGTGTTTCTTCAGCATGGACTTGGTGAGATGAGCCAAGTATCCCTCTGCTGTGGAAATGGCCTTGTTCATGTTCCCCAACAGTTCACACTCCACGTGGTAGAACTGGTTCAAGTGTGTGGCATCAGGATCTTCCCCTCTAAAGCTGGGAGATATGTAGTATGCCCCTGGCAGGTTGTCCTGGAAGCGAAGGAAGTATTCAAGTACAAATTGCATTGAGTCAGCCAGGTAGCTGTCCTGGCCGAGCAAGTGAACAGAAACTGGTTCTGAGTCAGATCCCAGGCCCATTGGTGAAGAGATGGTGTCTGTGGTGAGAGGGGTTAGAGCGTAGGAGTACTTGCAGGAACTGTGGAAATATTCCACTGTGCTGTGGAAAAGGGTGTTTTGAATCTGGAACAGGTTGCGATACCATTGGCTCTTGATGGCAAGTGTGGAGTGAGACTGAGGGTCTTGCCATGAATGAGGAGGCCTGCACTGGGTGATTTTTGAGTGGATCTTTTTAAGGGCTTCAGGGTCAGCCGCTGGGCCATCCCGTGATGACACAAATCCAGGGTAGCTTTGGTAGCATTGTGCTTGCAGTTCAGCTTGATTGGTTCCATCTGGTGAAGGCAACAGAGGGATTAGCTTGGCATGAGCATAATCAATCTCAAAGCCCTTGAAGATCAGTGCAACACCTTGAGCTCTCATCCCTTCCTCCAGTAGTTTGGCAACTTTACAAGTAGCTAGGATCAGCGCTTTGTAGTCAGCTTCCTCCAGTTTGAAGATGTCACTGGACAGTGGTTTGCGGGGCACTACAACGGTTAGTCCAGGAGTGTTTGGGTAAGGTGTCAGGAAGGCAACATGCTCATTGTCTTCCCACACTCTCCACTGTTGCTGCTCTCCACGTACAATACGACTGAAAAGGTTGTCATTGGAAGCATCTCCGAAAAAGTCAAAGCAGGAAGGTGCATTTGGTGTTGGCAGTCCGCTTCTAATCTTGGCTTGAACCTGGGTCAGTGCCTCATCATCCAAGCGTGGGCCACTTTTGGATGTGCAGTAACCAGGATCATTTGTGTGGAATTCCTCTTCACTTGCCAGATGGGGCTGCCACTTTGGCTCAAGACCATGAAGCGGAAGCAGTCGGATTTGTGCTGACTGGTTTGGGATTGGATTGAAAACCAGGGCACAGCGCTGCACTCCCAGTCGCTCACATAGCAAGCTTGAAACAGCCTTTGCTCCTTGTAGGATAGTCAAAACATCAGGTGTAGCTAACTGGAAGATGCTGCTTGCTCCGCTAAGAGTTTTTCTCTTCAGAATGGTTGACCCAGGGGTCCAGGGTTTGGGATCCAGGTAAGCAACCAGCTCATCGGTTTCCCAGATCACATCAGAGAAGCTCTTGAGTGGCCTGAGGACTTCCACTCGTGAAATGTCATCCACCATTGAGGCCACAAACATGACATCAGCGTTCGTTTCAATGATGACATCACCTTTCGCGTCCAGAGCTATGATTCCTGCACAGATCCCATCTAGATTTTCAGCCATCACCTCCCTACATGCCTGCCTCAAACTATAGCCTGTGTGGTGGTAGAGACTTGCTATTTTCTGGGCAACTGTTTGCCTCACAAACACATCTCCATCTCCAGAGCAGGTAATGGCTAACTTGTCATCAGCATATATTCCTGCCCCTACTATTGCTGTATCCCCAACTCGCCCTTTCAGCTTGCCTACTACCCCACCTGTGGATGATGCAGCAGCCAACCCTTTCCAACGATCCAAGGCCACAGCTCCAACTGTCCGCTGGTGATTGTTTTTTGAGGTATTTCCTGCAGCGAGCTTTGCAGTCAACTCTCTGTGACGTACATCTGTGTAGAAATACTCAGGCCCAACAGGATTCTGCTTCTTCTCCAACCCCTGCAGATACTCCTCAGCCCCATCTCCCACAATGAGTGAATGGGAGCTTTTCTCCATGACACACCTAGCGGCTTTTATTGGGTTCTTTACATTTTGCACACAAGCAACAGATCCTGACCTCATTGCATTGCCATCCACAATGGTTGCTTCCATTTCATTTTTGCCGTCTTGGTTGAATGCTGAGCCTTTACCTGCATTGAACAGGACGCAGTCCTCCAGAGCTTCTACTGACTTCTGAACTGCATCTAGACTGCTGCCACCTTGTTGAAGCACTTCGGATCCAAGGGTTAAGGCTGTCTGTAGAGCAAACTCAATTACACCAATGACTTCGGTGTTTAGCATCATCTCCTCACCAGCCCCACCATGGATTACCAGAGTGTAGTCTGTGCTCGTGCCAGAGGTGTTTTCAACAGTGGTTTTGCCTTTGTTTGGGCTCTCTTGGCAGTGGTTGGTCTCTCCATTCATTTTCTCAGTTTGACCCTGATTCAATGGACGCTCAATGGCTCCCATTTGGCATGCAATGGCATATCTAACAGCTAGGAGCATCACTAACTTCAGGTTTATCTTCAGACTAGCTTGAAGTTTCTCCAGTGTAAGAGCAAAGCTCCCTTTTCCATTAAGCACGATGCGAACCTTGTCTTTTTTTCCATGGTAGGTTACAGCCAGCTGATCTTGGGCATAAACATTCCCTAGTCCACACTCCACGCCCTCCATCATATCTGTACCTGTGAGGTACACAGATGGACATCCAAAGGGGTCCAGGTACTTCTTCAGAGGATTGTCTGATGGCAACGAATGACGCAGTGCAGCAAGGTGGGGTCCAACTCCATGACCGCTTTTTGTGTTTCTGATGAGGCTCCTATGCTCCAAAAATGCAACATGGAACAAGCGTAGCAGGTCAGCAGTGTATTTGATTGTGTTATTTGAGCCGATGCAAGACACCAAGGCACTTACTAACTTGTGAGAATGCATGGTGAATGAGTATGTTGGATCACAACGGCCATGTTTGTAGTGCCGCATATGGGTCGGTGTAACAATCATGTGCTTGGCAGCGGATTCCCCAAGAGTCTGCCTCAGGGAAAGCTGCAAAGAAAAGTTAACCCAAGCATCAAACAGGCCTCTCTGCCCTCTGAGAGTAGAAAAGACATCAGGAAAAGAAGACACATCAAAAGTCAGAACAGGGTGTGTTTCTTTTAAGTTACGGCTCAGTTTGGGGGTATTTACTCCTTGCAAGGGGAATGTTAGGGGAGGTGGACACACATAACTAACATTGTTTACTATGACAGAGCCATTGACTTGTACTGCTTCAGTCTGGACAAGATTTAGGTCCACAGTCTCAGACAGATTGTACAGATGCTCAGTCACAAGACCAGCCACCATCCCATCGACAGCACTGTGCTCAAACACCATCCCAGCTGTGCTGTCCTTGAACACCACCAGGTTCACCACCTGTAAATGAGGAAAAACAGTGATTGATTCATTTTATTAGGCTAATGTAAATCACTCTAAGCGCTGCCTCCTCTAATAGCACTGATAGCATATGTTCATACCTTGAGTTTCCATATTCCTTCACTTTAAAACGTTGGCACATATCAAACTTTGAACAATAACAGCAATTCCAAACCGCTTGGTGTGGAAGCTAACATTGACCTTGTACCAAATTGTAAGACAGCCCTAATTTTTACATTTCAGAAAAGGCAGTATTACGATCATTTAAAACAAATGTAAACAGTATGAGAAAGTGTTTGTGAAAAATGTATCTGATTTCTGCTTGGTTGAATATCCTTAGCCAGATAATATCCAATACCTTGTCATAATATCTCAAATGAAGGCTGCCTTCTCCTCCTCCTCCGAGCCTCACTGCATTGAGAGTATCAGCCAGTTCAGAGGGGGGGTTGAAGTCCTCCAGACAGAGGGTCAGCACGGCACTCTCCATCAGCCTCAGGGATGCCGCTGTCTCCCCTCCTTTCCCCAAGATCTCTTCCCTGGTGGCAGCCCAGACTTTGCGATCCAGAGCCGAGAGGCTACAAATGGCAGATGGATCATTCAGTTTTCCTGCTCTGGGTTGATCCATCACCTGAGCCAGCTGGTTGTAGATGTCAACAAACGGTCGAGCAGAAACTGGCCCACCAGTGCTGGGACGCCCCAGTATGTCCACAGGGAACACTCCTCCAGCACAGGTGACAATGGCATGAAGGCTATCAGGGTAGAGCTGGAGAATGAAAAGAAGATTAGAAAGAGAGCAGACTTGTTAAGACATATAAGATTAGATAAAACATACTTTATTGATCCGAAATTGGGCAATGTTTGAATGTTGCCAATAATCTCACTTTAATCTCATCTTGACTCCTGCCAGGAATCCTGCTGGCAGCGAATATCTCGGACTGCTGTGTGTTCTCCATCGGCACATTGCCCTCCAGCAGCATGGGCTCGCTGTACAGCTTTGCTGCTGCCCAGAGGAGAGCAGCGGCCCTCCCTAGCTGGGTACGTCCCGTTGCTTTGGTAGGAAGCAGAACAACAGGAATGGCAGTAGAGTTGGGCAGGGGGTCGTAATAAGACAGCAGACTTCTCTTGAACTGCTCCGTCACCCAGTTCTCTTTGCCCAAAGCTCTTGTTGTGACTTGTTCCTGGGCTTCTTGAAGGAGCGCCCTCTGCTGTTCCAGGGTATTTTTGAACTCTGGGTAAAGGTCAGCCCTTAAAGTGAGCTGCAAGACACGGCTCACTTCCTGCAGGGTAACATCCAACTCTGGAACAGGGTAGTTGAGAAGGGTCATCTTGCTGATGTGGAGTAGGCTGAGGAAGAAAGATAAAAACAATGAATACTAGGTACTGGTTAATTTATGGGCTAGACCAGGGGTGCCCAACCAGTCGATCGACAGGTCGATCGCGGGGAGATTCCCAGTCGATCGCGAGATATGTCTAAAAATAGAACAACAATATTCTGTTTTATCGTTAATGTCCTATAACATAATCTTCCTGTGCCAGAATAATGCACTTGAACGCATCAAAGCATTGTGATTGGCGTGACCCCATGTGTCGGGGCGTGGCTGGTGGGCAGTGGGCACTAGTTAGTTGACGTTGTCCGTGTCAACAGTGTGTGACAGTCCGCACACACACAAGACCGCAATTATGGCAGAAGCAAAAAAGCCCAAAATATATCATTTTCACTCCGAGTGGGAGGAGGATTATTTTATTGTTTATTCCAATTCAAAGTCCATCTGTCTCATCTGCAATGAGAGCGTGGCTTTACCGAAGAATTGTAATTTAGAGCGGCATTTCAAAACGGTGCACAAACGCTACGAGACGGAATTCCTTCCTAATTCTGCCCTACGCTCTTCTGTTCGTTGCGTGCATATGTAACAGAGTTAAACATGTGAATACATAATTATAAATTTGTGAATGTTTAATTCATAATAAGTTGTAGTTCTCGGCAGACTGGCAACTTTAAAAGTAGCTCTTGGTTCTAAAAAGGTTGGGCACCCCTGGGCTAGACAGTGCACTGTTGTCACAGTAGAATTGAAGCTTAAAAAGAACACAGAAAAAGAAAACCTATGCCCTTGCATGTAAACGGCATTGCTCCACAACATATTAATGCGCATTGGGCATACCCCACAATCTTAGCAAACACACGTATTAAGCCTTACAAAAAATTGCACCAAATACAACCAGAAACAAATCTCATAAAAACAGTAAACCATGGCCAGGAGTGGAGATATGCCAAGTATAACTCATACAATAGATCAGCCAAAGTCAGCACGAGAAATCTTAAATCATTAGAAGCGGCTGAAAATCATCTTCATTTTGATATATATTGTTAAAAGGAAGATCATCTTATGTTGTTTTCGTAATTGTGGCAGGCCAAAATCGTAATTGCGATTAAAATACGATTAATTGCACAGCCCTAGTCCCCGGTGTTCCAGGGAACTCACCAAGTGTCAGAAAACACAACCCTCTTTATTTTCCTCCATACCCAAATCTCTAAAAAAGGGGCTGCAACGGATCTGATAAAAACTGATCCAGATTTGAACACTTTACTGACGTCAGTAAAGTGGCGCTACGGCTATTGGGCCAACTCTCCACTCCTATCAGGGGAATGTGGGGTTGGGCCACGGCCGGCCATTGCCGCTCGAAAGCGCTGGAGACGCTGTAGTGCATATGCCAGGCCTGTATATTTCATATTAGTACAGTATTTATAATACAATATATTATAATAATAGACTGACTAGGGTAGTAGACTCGACTACTGCAATGGTGTCTTCACAGGTCTCACTAAAAAATCTATTAGAAAGCTTCAGCTGATTCAGAACGCTGCTGCTCGAGTCCTCACTAACACTAAGAAAGTGGATCACATCACTCCTGTTCTGAAGTCTTTACACTGGCTTCCTGTGTGTCAAAGAATAGATTTCAAAATACTGCTGCTGGTTTATAAAGCTTTGAATGGTTTAGGCCCAAAATACATTTCTGACCTACTGCTAAATTATGAACCATCCAGAACTCTCAGGTCATCAGGGACTGGTCAGCTTTCTGTCCCCAGAGTCAGAACTAAACATGGAGAAGCAGCGTTCAGTTATTATGCTCCAAATATCTGGAACAAACTCCCAGAAACCTGCAGATCCGCTGCAACTCTGACTACTTTTAAATCCAGGCTGAAGACTTTTCTTTTTGTCGCCGCTTTTAATTAAACTATTCACATCTTAAACTGCACTGTAACTTTTATCCATGTATTTTTTCTTTTAATGTTTATTTTATTATCTTTTCTTTTTAATGACTGATTTTAAATGCCATTTTCTTAATGTCTTTCATTTTTTTGTATAGCACTTTGAATTGCCTTGTGTTGAAAGGTGCTCTTTAAATAAACTTGCCTTGCCTTGCCTAGGGGCTCTGCACACCCTTGCAGATGTTCCAACTTATAAAAGATGACTAAATCTTTGCTTAAATTGAAAGTAGGCAGAGCTAAAATTGAAATTATCCACATATGCACCTGCCAAGCACTAAGGACAGTATTGTGATACAAAAGTAGTTTATCCCACTATAAAAGGTGCAGAATGTGTCCAAAATAATTCCTTATTTACTAGAGTATATGTAATGCTCTCTGTTTACACATCATTTTATTTGACGTATGCTTTTTTAGTACCCTCTACGATTAAAATTCAATGTTTATATTTACAGTTGAGCCTGTAGTATATGATTTGTAGGCAGATATATCTCTCCAGCACCACAATATGTCTTTCAAAATAGTATTTTGACACGTAATTTGCATTTGTCAATGTCAATGATGTCAAATGAAGTATCAGAAGAACTGGAAAAATATATCACTTTAGTCAATCTACTCAAGAGGCTGTTTTTAATAAAACATCTTTACGCCATTTAAAGGATCCCTAATCCCTAAAACCAAGAGTAAAACATAATGATGTCTTATCATCTAAAATGCAACTTCACACATTCTTGCACACACACTCATACACACTCATCACGCTGACAGAAGGGAACTGGTCTCACCTGTCAGTGTGATTAATGTCTCCATGGCAACACTGACACATCCATTATATTTTTGGTTAGAGATGTGAAATATATCAGTAAATACCACACTAGAGGATTCCTGAAGCTGTTACATGGCTTAAAAAAAGCGGCTTGCTAACAGGTGGCTAACTGAAACTGCTAAACATCGTCCTGTCGAACATTAGCCACCTTTAGCTTAGCGACCTTCATGGAGTTTATAGCACTATGCTAGCTATTTACTTCTGGCAATTGTACTTTACTTCAGCTATTATAAAAGTGGTGTTAATATGTGGAGATTATCCTGCTGAACAAAACGTGTAAGTATCATAAACGTGTGTTTGCTACAGAGCTTATTCTCTGCAAAAATACGTCATCACTGAATCACTCTATAATAGCACAGACAAGGATTTTAACTTAAAGGGGACCTATCATGCAAAATGCACTTTTGTACGTCTTTTATACATGAATATGTGTCCCCGGTGTGTCAGGGAACTCACCAAGTGTCAGAAAACACAACCCTCTCTCTTTTCCTCCATACCCAAATCTCTAAAAACGGGGCTGCAACGGAGCTGATACAGATTTGAAATTGTTCTGACGTCAGAAACAGGGAGCTCCGCCTATATGGGCAACTCTCCACCTATCAGGGGAATGGGGGGTTGGGCCACGGCCATTGCCGCTCGAAAGCGCTGGAGACGCTGTAGTACATATGCCAGGCCTGTAAGTGGTGCTGTAGTCTGCCACAAAAGCAGCGAAGAAGACTTCTCACAGAATCAGCCCTTGCAAAAACAGGGCTGGAAAAGAGCAAATAGAGCGAAATGAGGCATGGCTAAAATGCATGATCTGTTTGGTATCTTGAAAAAAAAACTTCACAGACATGTTTTATATAGGTATGGCCCTACAATATATTATTCAAATATAGCATGATAGGTCCACTTTAATGATTTATATGTGTACACATATATCACTTAAATTATTCAATACATCCTTTGTACTGAAGTATTAAAAAGTAAAAATTACATTTTTAATATAAATGATTTGCTGTGGCCAATTGTTTTCATTGCATTTACAGACCCTTGTAACTCTCTGATACCACCCAATGAATGCACTGACTTGCTTGTAGAACCACGCTACACAAAGCAGATAGCAACAGCTATAAAAACGTAAGCATACTGTAGACATGTTAAAAAAGGACAGCTACTGTATCGACATTTTAAAAGTGTATTTAAAGAAAAAGCCCTAACAAAACAGCAGGGCTCTTAACGGTGGGGTATGTAATTTTGGAGAAACCAGCTTGAGTGCGCCAGAATTTGAAACTACGCAGCCGAAAAAAATCTGCCTCTTCCTTCAGACTTCCTTACAGAGCCCCTCCTCCAACACACATGAACGCGCACATGACCAATGAGGGCACAAGATAAGTTTGTGCACAGATGGAAGGCTGACAGGCAGGTAGGCCATCCAGTTATTTTAGCCGAGCCGGCTGATTAATGATTGATCATGATCGTGTTTTCAAAGCTGGTAAAGGTGCAGCTAGTTTGAATGACGTTGTATACTGCAGGGTAGCTTGTGAATTTACTCCAGGTGGAACTAAAGTCTAATTTAACACTTGATTATATTTCACAACATTCATCCACATCTGTAAAGTAACTAAAGGTATTAAATAGCCTACATGTAGTGGAGTAGAAGTACAAAGTAGCAAAACATTGAAATACTTAAGTAAAGTCAAAAGTATGTCAACATTTTACCCAAGTATAGTACTTGAGTTTATGAACTTGGTTACTTTACACCGCTGGCTGTAAAGATAGAAAGACTAAGCTTTGCACAGAGGCATGAAAATACATTTTCTAAATGCTCAACAGTCCTGCCAAAATGATAAACTGACTGCTACACAATTTATATAAACGCTTTTATATATTTCTATTAGATGTGACTCTTTGGCATTTCTGTTATTATTAACACTGCTGCTTTAGTTGTTCTGATGGCTAAAATCCTCTGTTATTCCTAATTTTAAAGCCGATATTCCGTGGGGTTGGGGGGTCGGGGGCTCGGATCCTTGTCACCTTTTTCATACCTGATGAGTTTGCATCCCTGACTACAGTTGCTTTAGCGTGTAGAAGCTAGTAAGCCTACTATTTGATTTGTTTTAGATAGGCACAACATGTTTCATATGCTTGCAGACCTTATTTTCCTGTTCCATGTTAAAATAAACCATTTTCAGTGGTACCGCTGAGAAAGACTAATTTTTTTCGGTCATGGAAAATTAGGTAAAGATCATGGAGAAATCATTGAAAAGTCATTGAAAATCATTGGTGAAAAAGTGTATGAACCCTGTTAAGTGGGCCCTGAGTTGAAAAAGGTTGGGAACCGCTGCATTAGAGGAACCACTAATTGAATGATCTGAATGTTGGTAAGGTACAGCTGAATCGAACACAGGTCTCTTTGTGTGTGAATGTAGTAAACATGCATGGAACGCATCCAGATTTGAGTTTTCCATTAAACAATACCCTCTGGAATCAGACCAGAGAAATAACTGATAACGAATCCTATCTGCTCTCACGTGAAAGCATTTAGTCACGAATCGTCAATATAAAACTAAAGCATGATTTTTTGCTGGTTGTCAAGGGAATGCGTCCCTTGCTGTATTAGAAAATTAGATTTCTCCTGATTCGTCTCATCAGTGTAAGTCCTCCACACAATGCAGTCTGTCTGTTTTCTATCTGAGGATGGATTCAGGCTCAGCAAGGATAGTGGTCTTGTAATTCCAATAGTTCATTTACTAGTAAGCAGTACTTCCAGTATGTCAAAGTATGACATAATATATATTTTCCAAGGGTTGGGATTAGGGCAGGGATGCTTGGCCCATAAAATCAGACCAGATTTTATGGACATTAAAATAGTTTTTCGAATCAGGTAAAATTTAAATTGAAGAATTCAAAAGATTTATTTTTCTAATTTAAAGCACCATTTCACTGATTTTCTCATGTAATCCCAGTCGTGTTAGACCTTGCAGATTATTTTCAATTTAATTTGCTGAGAGAGATTTTATGTCATTGTCCCAAAGCAATATCGGTACAGAAAATGGTATTACATTTCTTGGGTTTAAAACATTGAAAATTAACAAAAGAAAAGCTTTAAAAAAAACATTTATTTCCAGAAACAACACAAAATGCCTCAGGAAACGCAACACAAATCCCTGTCAACATTTATTCTACCAAATATAAAGGTCCAAATAAATCTGACTGGAATGAGGAATGTGGATTAACGGGAATTAACTGAGAACTGTGTTGATACTACTGAATGTCAATTTCTATCTTTTTCTTTTATATCGTAATGAAAAACATTTTCTTCAATAAAATAATACTCAATTTGATGTTTAAGAACTGTTTATAATTATAAATACAGCATTTTTTTTATGTGTCATTTGTATTCCTGACTTTTTGTGTGTAAGGATTTACGTATTATTCTTACATTTTAAAAATACTCTCAAGATATCTCCCCCAAAACTGCCCAAAAACGTTTAAAATTACAAAAAGTAATTGTTTTTAAATGTATATTACTAGGATTTAGATTTATTTGCATCTGAAGTACAAAAACAACATGACTTATCAAGTTTAAGTCATATCAGACAGATTCACATGTGAGTACATCATTATGGATCCATCCTGTTTTCTACATCATTCAAATGTTATTCACATTTATTTCAAAGAGAAAATCAGCTTACCTCAATATGGTATTTCTCAGAGCTCTGGTCAGTCGGTCGGGTGGAAGAACAGTTTCTGTGAGGAAATGTTGGTCTGTTTGCCCATAATATAGTGACTCCAATGAAGCAATTCAGTGGCCCAATCCCAAACCACACCCTACACCCTACCCCTACACACTCCCCCTCCGTGACGGATTGACACTCACAGCTCAATGAGGCTCCCTCCTGTCAGATGGAGGGAGTAAATACAGCGGCAAGCTTTGGGACAAACTCCCCTCTCTCCGGCAGAAACAGAAAAGGCCGTAACTGTATGTAACAACGGTTTCAAATCAGCATCTCTTTGACAACAAATTTAAATTAATAACTCAAATAAAACTCCAAACATCTTTAATTGTGTTTTGTAAAGCTCTTTTAGATTTAAACCTGATTTTGATAAGCTTCTTAGTTTTTGCAACAGTCTGTAAATATACACAACTTTATAATAAAATGCACACATTTACCTTTTTCTAGACTAAACACAGGTATACGATCCTAAATTAAAAAAATATGAGGTTATCTTGAGGTTGTTATGTATTGTATTCTGGGAGGCAGTGTCACATCTATTATATTCTGATTAATGGTGTAAAATACATAGTTTTCTTGTTAGTGACTTTATATCAATTGCATTCTGGTAAATTGTATATATTCATTGTAATCTGGTGAATGGTTGCATACTTATTGTATTCTGAGCATTACTGGTTATACTGGTGAGAGTTACTTAATGCATTGTATCTTGGACAAGATGACCTGAATAATGTCCAGCTTTACAATCAAACTTGTCATGTTAAAATAATAATCAAAATACTTATTGTAACCCTAACCCGGGGCGGCTGTGGCTCAGTAGATAGAGTGCTGGACTTCAAATCAGGGAGTAGCAAGTTCGAGTCCCACTGCAGTCAGCATGTCGTTGTGTCCCTGGCAAGACACTTCACCCCAAATTGCTCCTGTGGGGATTGTCCACAGTACTGAATAAAAGCGTCTAACAAATGACATGTAATGTAATGTAATGTAACCCTAACCCTAGTTTGTCAAAAATGTGGTCCACAACAAGGCGGCCATCTTGAATTTGGTTAATCAGATTATCTACTTGGTGCGTTGCGCTGATCTTCCATTACAGAGCAGATGGCTCATCTCAAGGGGTTATCCTTAAATAAAGTTGAAACACTGTAAAAGTCTCAGTAATTCACTCGATTGGATATCATTCAAATGAAGCTTGACGGAGTTAAATTCAGAAATACTTTCTTTATTTTTCTCCCAACTTAATCAGACTGTGGGTGTTTAATTTGGACAACCCTTAAGTATGTGCAATATACAGTGTTCTGTATTTCAAATATATTTAAACTTTAAAAAATGTGCTTCTTATCAGGTTATATTTGTAATAGTGGTTCCATGTAACACAAATTGAATTGCTGAACATGATCATTCTGTTATATACAAAAATACAATTATTGTGCAATTTCTATGTTTGTTTCAGCTGTTACCCAGAAACTGTTGCAACACTAAAAAAATAATCATCAGTTCCACAGAATATCTATATTCATATTTCCCATAGTGCAATTCTATCAACAAAAGACACTACTGCACCTCTAAAGTCATAAGAAGCCACCACTGGAAGTTTTAGTAAAGTGAATGTTAATAACATACAATATATTGTACACCCTGATTTTGTGCGGTATGTCTTGTTCATTCACATGGTGACATTGTTTTAATTGCAAATGCTGACATTTTTCCAGTTTCTTGTTGGTACTATCAAGCCATGTCCCATTCCTCTGCTAAAATGTAGCTTGCCTCTTGACAACAGGGGAAGCCAACTCCTCTGCTGGAAACATCACAAAATCACACATCTACCAGTCAAGTTCAATGTTCACAAGGACATTACAGCTAGGTGGCCATTTCCATAACACCAAAAAGGAGGACACTTTGGGATTATCTTTTAGTTTTTATCCTGGCTTCACTGAATCCTTCACACTCAAAACACAATAAGACTAGTGTACTAATCAAGTTGAATGTCTATTTTCGATACTTTTGCCCTTTCCTGGCTGCTTCCAAGAGTTTTTTGTTTGTAAGGGGTCTCTGGTACATGTCTGTGCACTCAAATGTGAAGTTGACACAAATTTGCAGCTCTGCCTTGACACTGACGATTTCTCTAATTTCTCCATGCTGAGGTCATCATTGAGAACACACGTTCTGTATGGGCATTGCTACATGGGATGGAGAAGATATAGGCGCTGACCTTCCTCAGATTCACAAGTGGGACTTCTGCTTTGGAAAACAGTTTAAGTGCTGTTCCAAACCAACGAGTGTGGAGTGGTGTGGAGGGGGAGTGGGTTATCAAGCCCTCAAACAGCGAGTCTGCAGCGGTGCTGGCGGTAGACCGGCCCATGGACCGGCCTCTAATGCCGCGTTTCCACTACAGCGCGCAGCCCGGTTTAAGAGGGCTGTGACGTCAGCGGCCCGTTTGTGGTTGCGTTTCCACTTGGCCTAGTACCGGCCGGCTGGTCCTAATTCTCAGTTTTTCTGGCCTCATAAAATCGTGGGGCCAGGGCCAGAGGCAACCGGGCTGTGTTTGTGACGTCAACGCTCTCGGCTGCTGATTGGTCGGAGAGAATCGTCACAATCTGCGCGCGAGATAATCCATTTTTACAAACAGCATTTTTGTTAACGGAGGAGCTACAACAATGGCAAAGAAAAGCACACCATGGTCGGTCGAGGAAGTGACGACGTCCATTATATTGCAGATGATAAGGTCCAGCGGGTGCTCGACGGGACAACTCGCAATATCAAAGTCTTTCAGGAGGTCTCTACACAGACACTGGACTCTCCAACGGCGTTACTGGAGTCTGCATGGTACGTTTTTGCTAACGCTGTGTTATTTGCTTGAAAGCTTTGTGTCCCTGCTTTGTGTCCCTGCTTTGTGTCCCTATCTGTTTTAAAGCTCACTTCTAACAAATAAGTCTATTTTATCCTTACATTTATGTTCGACAACCCCGATGGAGCCCCGAAGGCTAGCTAGGCAGATAGCATTAGCGAGAGCTATTGTTTGCTAACACCATATGTGCCATTGTTTACGTTCAGTTTGTCTTTTCTATAGTTGTTGTTGCTATTTATAGTATTGTGCTGCAGTAGTTTGTGGAATTTACAAGTCATGTTTCTGTTCTAGATGATTACATTGGGACTAGCGAGGAGGAACAGCGAGGAGGACACAACGTCCTCTGCATCAACAGCACAAACCGAGGAGGAGAGGATCTGGCCCTGCAGGAACGGCAACTGGCCCAGCAGAATCAATGCCATGTCTTATCTTATTGCTTGTTGATAAATAATTGCACCCACCAGCGATCGCACAGAAAGATGGCATCATCTAGGCGTCCCTCTGCAGTCAGAAATATCATAAACACCATCGTCCACAAAGCACTGTACAGGGGTTTATGGATTTAAGAGAATACTTATCACAGTGAAACCTTTATCATCTGTTGCAATTAAAGCAAATAAGAGAATAAATACTTGGTTAAATAATACATTTTAACTCTTTAGCAGGACAACTCTGCATACTGTTTGAAATTGAGTTTGCTAGCTTGAGGTCCTCCTCTAAAACATAACATTACATAATGGTATTAAGAATACATGATAAATACATGTAGAAAAATTACTCAATTGTAATACCCTCGTTGTGCTAGACTCAAACACATTGCTTATATATTTCAAAGAGAAGAGAACAAAAGAAAACACCTATACAAAGAGAGCGGTGCACAGCGCTTAATATTTACTTGCACTATATTTCTGTTGATCTGGGTTATTGTGTTGCACTGTTGGAGGAGCCTGTGACCTAAGATGTTCATTGTCATAACTACACTAGCTATGTTCGTATGACAAAATAAAAAACCTTGAACCTTGAGGCTGTGTCTTTCAGACAAACCATCATAATCATATTATTTTATGCTGTGGATACTTTAGCCTCCATCCATGTTAACAATTTTTTACACTTGCATTTATGAATATAGTTCTGTTGTGTTTTACACTTTTGTATTTATGTTTATAGTTTGCTTTGATATTTGCTTAATTTATTAGATTATTATTATGGGGGCAGTACTTGTGCTTGAAATTCAAATATTTACTAAATAGTCAATTCTGATAACATTTTTTTGGTTTAAATAATTTGACAAACACATGTATGTGAAAAAGAAAAGATGTATTTATGTTCAATACAATACAATGAATATTTAGGTATTACACGTAGGTTTTCCTCAGGCATCCTGAAGTTCTCCACCCACTGAGTGTGTGAAAGATGGAACAATCACATTCCACCACTCGGTAGCTCGGTCGGTAACTTCTGAAATACACAAACAAAAGCATACATATTTTAATACGTAAAAGTGGTAGCTACAATTAATTAAATACTTGAAATACTTTGGTCGTATAGGGAGAGTGAGCCTAAACACATTGCTAGTTAGCGAACGTTAGCTTACCAAGTAGCATTGTAGTTAGTAGTGATTCGAGTCGTCCTGTAGTCTCTGCGGCGTAGGAGGACTGCCCGAACTCTCGCGTCAGCTTCTTCTATACCTCGTCTTGCTATACGTCGCCTCTTTCGAAACAACTCTTGTCTATTTCTTGTGATAATAAACCACACAGCAAAAAACAAGCAAACGATCGCTTTCACATCTCCATTGTTGTGTCGCATTGAAGATGACGTCACGGCAGTTTTAAGCAGCGTCGCTCCGCCTACACTGTTACTATAGATACTGACCCGGTTCCTAAACTGTAATGGAAACGCGCCACAAAGTGAGCTGGTCCTAACGAGGCCGGGCGCGGCCAAAGGAGGCCGAGCGGGGCCGAGCGAGGCTGTGTAGTGGAAACGCGGCATAACTGACCGGAGTCAATGCTGTGTGTGTCCGTCCGGAAACCCGCTGTTTACAAGTAGTTCCAGCAAAAATCCACTGATAAATTGCGATGTTAACAAGCGATAGGATTCTCCCAACATAATACAAATTATAAATGTAACAAAACAGATATTCTTGTCT